TTAAAAAGATCTAATGTGTATTGGTTATTAATGAGCTCTCAGAATGGTGCTATTAAAGGAAGATTTTTTTTACATTTTATAATTTGTCTACACTGAACAAAAAACAGACATACACAAGTGTATCAAAGCATCAGAAATTGTGCAACCCATATAGTATCAAACCTTAAGAAAACAGCAAGTTTCAAAAAAGCTGTTTTCACTTCACCTAAGTGTCTCGTGTACAAATCATGTTGAAAGTTCTTGCTATAGTCACCTCTCTAACATCATTATTTTTGCATAAACTGTTTCAAATTATTTTAAATATGATGAGTAACAACCTGACTCCAATGGTGTATTCCTTTCGCGTGTCCGGGATGTTCCGGACTCTGTCTTTTCAAAGGAGTACAAAAGAACACTGTTCCGGCACAATCCGCGTGGTGTGCCGCGCGCACCATTTATCGAGGTGGTGCACACGGACTAAAAAATGGCGTCGAATAACATCACTACTCAGAACCCGACGGTCGGTAACCTCACCTACCTATGTAATGGATGTGGGGTATACTTTGCTCTTCGTGAAACATTTGCAGCCCATCAGTGCAATCGTAAGTGAAAACCTAAACGATTTTTTCATTTAAACACGTTGTTTGAGCAACATAAACTGAAGCCACGATAACATGGCGATTCCTGTTACTCTATCATTTATTGTGCCGACATTGCCTGCCATAAGTTTCTCGCCGTGTAAATCCTCTTACATTGTTGGAATCCTGTCTGTCCTATTCCCGTCCCCGACTCTAATCAGCTGCGTAACTTTGCTCTATAATTTTCAAAATAAAGTCTGGTAGTGTTAGGCCTACTGTATGCCTATAATATTTGGGCAAAATGTAATGAGAAAGCTTTACTCGCTTTCCATTCATAACACCAAAGCCTAACGAATGTAAAAAAAAAATGGTTCAATAAAAGGGGGAAAACATTTGACTACCGGAGATTAAGAGATTTGCACAATTTTTTAAAATTTTATCAGATACAGGAAGACAGCCCATCAGGCCCATGGTGTTGATGACAGAACAAAATGAAGATGATCTCAATAGAACCCAGGGAGAAAACAGAAAACCATGTTTGAGTGTGAGGAATGCCGGAAGTGGTTTTCGGAAATGCATCTATTCATTGCACATAAATGTATTTCAGGTAGGCTTAACACATTTGTTTCATTATGGCTAGTTTTCACTACCAAAATATATATATAACCACTGAAAAAATTACCTTCTTGCGCTGCTGTGCGCACATACTGGTAGTCATATCAATATTGATGCCGACTATATAAATCGCAGAAGATAATGTTTTGCAATGTATCGATATGTAGAATAAATATCATTAATTTATCACATATGTCACACATATATATATGATCAAACTTATTTAATAGAACTGAAAGATGGCATAAATATAAATGATCTTGCATTTAAATTTTTAAAGTGGGTGACCAGTTTTAATCTATCAATGATATAAACCTGCTTTATTATCTCATAACAATCCAAGGTCAAAGATTTGAATTTAATGTACTGAAAAATGTTTGAAAACAAGTTGTGAAAATATGATTTTAATAAATTTTAGTTGGCAGTGCAGAATCACTGGCAGACGTAGTCTCTCCCAACACTGCGGGTAAGATCAAAGGTCTCACAATGAACAAGTAATTTTATACAATAACATTACCAGCAGGAGTTTGATTCTGGAGCTTAAGGTTTAAATTTAGAACAGAAATTTTAATTAAAAAACTGATTTGATATTTCCCGTATTTTTTTGGAAGAAAGTAATAATTCACTCTTTTTATATATAACCAAAGTAAGTCTTAAAAATATTAATTGTTAAAAAATATGTTCATAGGTGCATGGCGCTCAGGTTAATCAGTAACTCTCTAAAGCTATCAATGTGATTGAAGTTCATTATGATATTAATTCAGTCTTCCATTTGAAATTTATTTACTTTATGACTTGAAGTTGTAATGACATAATAACAGGTGACATATTGAACATATGGAGGTGGGGGAGAAGACTCAATTTGTATAAAAGGAGGGTCAGGTTCCCTTGGGAACGAAGGAGTGGGGCTCAATAGAAAAATAGAGGATTTTTAGCCCACCATTATCTATTCAAATCGCCCTACGTACGTCCATGGTCCATCGTCCGTCTGTAAACAATCCTTATTATCTCTATTTCTTGAGACGTATTGCAAGGATCTTTCTCAAATCTCAGTTGTTGATTCCCCTTGGTCCCTAGTTATACCCATTCAATTTTGAGTCTGATCTGAAAAAACAAACATGGCCACCAGGCAACCATCTTGGATTTTTGCAGTTGAAGTCTGTTATCCATATATCTTGAGAAGTTCTGGAAGGATTTTTCTCAAACTTCAGAGATGAGAAAAGAAGAGAAAATATCAGTCTTACATGGATCCAATAAGATCATCCAATGGTGGGTGCCAAGATCCTTCTGGGATCTCTTTGTTGTTTAGTTATTCTTCTCTATGGATAAAAAGAGATTTTGATTCACTTGATCTGCAGTATCCTTTCTGAAGACAGAGGAGAAGGGTTGAACAAAATTGGTTATCAAAGTTGGGTGCCTTTCAACTGAATTTGCATCTTTGGAACCAGAAAGCGAAATGTTAGTTGAATTGAAGTGTTTACTTTTTCGCATGTTATTGTGAAAGGTATCCCAAAATGGGAAAATATTTGTAATATAACTTTAGTGAGAGTGTTTTCCCATGATCAGTGAAATATCCAGGTTAGCAATGCAGGCCCTTTGGGCCTCTTATTTTAGTCCTTCATGCGACAGATGTACATACATTATGTATTTTTTTCCTTGTCAGAATCAGACATCTCTTCTGGAAGTTCTGGTGCTTCAGCCTCATCTGGTACTTCAGATGCCAACAGTTCAGCAGAAACAGGTAGATGCATGACCACAACAGTTTGAACAAGGGCAGCGACACTCTTGTTAATAGACGAGTACAAATCCAGAATGAAGCTTCTTACTACTGGAAAATTGAGAAAAAAATCTGCATGGGTGCAGGTAAGTAAAGTCCTGTGCTCTCATGGACACAACATGACACCTAGTCAATGTGAAGGAAAATGGAAGACACTGTTAAGAGGTCTAAAAAATGTAAATGATCACAATAACAAGTCAGGCAATGATAGCAAATCTCATCCTTATGCAAATGAACTTGCATTCATTTCAAACAAGCCTAATTTCAATCCTTCATATGTAGCTTGCTCTGACAGCTCAGTAGACAGTCTACCGAGACATCAGATTCTGATGGTGAAAAACCAGTAAAGAGCAGTAAAAGATCTCCTATTAAAGGTAAAAGGTCATCAGATGGCAGTGAACCCAAACCAAACAAAGTAAGTCTCATGCATCAGAAGTTATCAATGTCTTATCTAATTTTATATCTAATCAACAAGAAATGTATGGAAATGAGAGTGCTCGGAAAGAACGGAAATATTTCGGGGGTTTCTGTCTGTGCTGCAAAATCAAGGGGAATCGGCGCAGTCCACAACCACCAGTCAGGCTGATCAAAATATGAAAAATAAGGACTAGAAATCTATTTCAGAACAATCATCACATCATATTTTGCACTTTTTAGCCCACCAGCATCTGATGGTGGGTTGTTCAAATTGCCTTTCTTTCATCGTCCACCCATCCATAAATAATCATTGTTATCACTAATTTTTGGAAAGTACAGGAAAGATATTTCTCCAGCTTGACATGTAAGTTCATAAACAAAATGGCCAACAGGTGGCCATCTTGGATTCTGATAGTTGAAGTTTGTTATTCTATTTCTTGAGAGGCGACAGGCACCCATCTTTGATGTTGAATTTGGTTTAATATTGCTATTTCTTAAGTTTGTAGGTTCTTCTTTGTCCCTTTTTTGCATGTTCAATTTTGCTAATATCAGAAAAAAAGTAGTCATATTTTTTTAATATCACTTGTTATTGTCAATAGAACAGATAAGCATTACCTACAAAAGTAGAAAAGTGAAAATCAATAAACATTATACAATGGTGGGCGCCAAGATCCATCTGGGATCTCTTGTCCTGTAATTTCCTTGTTTTTATTTATTTTCAGATACAACATGTAATATCTGCATGGAACGAGAGAGAGAGACTGTGCATTTATAAGTTGTGGCCATGTTGCTGCATGCTTAGTGTGCGCTAGACAGCTGGAAATATGTCCCATTTGTAGAGCTGAGATTAAGGAAGTTTTAAAGGTGTACCAAGTCCAGGACTGTACCGGTAATCTGTGATGGGTTCCATCAGACAAGCACCCTTCTTTTTACCTTCACAGAAACTTTTGATTTTTCTGGAATGCAAGATATTTTTTGTTTCTCGTTATTTTGTAATTACAATAATTCAACCAAGATACAAGTGTATTTTTAATGAAAAATGTTATTAGGGCACATTTACTGCAGCCATTTTTATGCTGCATTTATTCATTATAAATTCTGATTGATTTCCAATAATTGTATATCTGTAGGTCAGGTAAAGGGAGTGGGAAAGCTCAAGGAATTAAAAATATTAATGCTTTCACGATACATACTCTGTGTTCTGGCTGTCCAGATATGAGAAAAGCAAATAAAAAAGGAGGTTTAGAAAATTTAATTGTTTACTTAAAAACAATAGTGAAAGCTATCATGACTTTCACCTGGATTTCTCATGTATTTTTGTATAAACCATCGAATTGTGTAATTCTAGTCATGTTTATGATGATGTCCTGAGATATTTTTTGTTGCTCTGGGCTCAGGCAAGCCTTCAGCATGTTGTTTTCGTTACTTTTTGACAATATTTTATTGTTTATCTGATTCTATATTTTTATTTTTCATATTTTTTACAAGTTGTAATGTTGAATAAAGGAGCAAAACATATAATAATTGTTTTGTTATATATTTTCAAAATGTCGAAGTAGTTTCNAAAACATATAATAATTGTTTTGTTATATATTTTCAAAATGTCAAAGGTAGTTTTATCATCATACTATATGGAAAATGCAGCTGTATTGATTCTCCTTGTTTGTCAAATTCAAAGTGTTTTTGGTAAAAATGTTCCCACTATTTCCATACAATAATACCGGTATATGAACAAGTCTTTTGGAATAAATTTCATATGTATACAAGTTCCTTGTAAGATGTTCCCGCTTTCTAAGCCCCTCAACATCATCCATGCCTTGTAGTGCTTGTACACCATGGGGAAGAATGTGGTTGTCATCTTGTTACTACCAGATCAACAGTTGTTTTAATCTTGTATCAACACACTGGGGTCGAGAAAACGGACCTTTAAACATCCCAAAAGCACGTTCAACAGTAACACGAGTAGTTGATAAGGCTGTGTTGTAGCGTTGTTGTTGGTGGGACAGATGACCATTATTCCTGTATGGTGTTAGCAACCATTTTCTAATGGGATAAGCTGTGTCTCCGATTATATGAGCATCTCCACATCTGGCAGGACCTTCATCCCATAAATCACAGTTTCTGAGAACTCGAGCGTCGTGGCAGCTACCTGGCCATCCTGCAACTACATGTATGATTCTCATGTCCTCCCGACATACAGCCTGTAAAATAATCGAATGGAAACCTTTTCGGTTCACATAGCTCTCTGGATGTTGACTTGGTGCTTTTATTTTAATATGTGTACCATCAATGGCACCCACTACATCAGGAAAATTAGCTTTTCTTGCAAATCCTCTAATTATGTCAGCTTTATCATTTCCCTGCGGCCAAAATATATTTTTTTCTTTTAAATGTTCAATGAATACACTGAAGAGACGGTCCCTGGTCCTCACCATGGATGATTCTGTGACATTGAATCTATCAGCTATGCGATTTAGTGTCTCGTGACTAGAAACATACCACAACATCATCAGTAACTGCTTATCGATAGGTATTGGCTCCCTTCCTCCAGTCCACCCTGGTGCAAGATCACCATAAGCAGAAATATTTTCATACAAAATCTCGAATGTTGATCTGGAGACCCTGAAGAACCTCTTAAAATCATCCAGCAGGTAATGAGGTACAATTTGCTCCGTGTAACTTTGTATTCTCACCCTTTCCTCACGAACACTGAAAAGTAAAATACGCAAAACCTATAAAACAAAAAAATCACGTAAATAACCTCCATTTGATGATTAGGAAAATCCGTATTTAATACTTTTTTAAGGGGAACAAAAGTTATAGTAGAGCGTAAGTCTTGAAATTGATAATCTGTCTACTAAAAAGTGGATACGGGGGAAAGTGTTGTCACTCGCTCGTTTTGTTTACATTCAGTACTGTAGACCTACACGATTATGAACATAACGTTTCTTTCACATAAGGTACTAATCTTCTAGTATGGAGCGATGTTATAATATCAATTTCTCTTGATTATTTCTAATTTGAACACGCATAATGGAATCTAAACTTACATAGAAGCCGCAATGAAAGCAACCACAGCTTCGTCGTCTCCGAAGTTGTCATCTTCGGTGTCCTCCATGTCCTCTAATAAAAGTGAAAGTATAGCGACTACTCTGACCGCCATATTGTTTACCCCGACTCCTGTTCTGAAGCATTCCATTGACGCATAACTCGTACAGTGTCTCTATCACATCCCGCACAGACGAAAGGAATACACCCCGATTATTTTCTACTGATTGGTGTACGTTTTTTTACATACATGTTCACGCTGTAAATGAGTTTGCAATGATACACTCAAAACAATATTTTGCCTTAAAAATACTTACAACTGACAAAACAAACAATGAAATGGAACAAAACAGACCAAATAAGTTTGTTGTCAAGTCTGGAGCATATATCTAAGCCATTTGGTAAGTAAATAATGGGAGGTCCTTGTGAATCAGAAACTGCTGAGTGAATGCATGTACAAATGCATGCATGAGGAGAATAAAACACACATGCATATGACACATGTATGACTTCTACCTAATTACCTGTATATTGTGCTGAAAATTCCCATCATTCTGCAATGCAATCTTTCTCTTCCTATCTCCCACTGGCATCATCATGATTTTTTTTACACCAGAATGCACTGATATGTAATGTTTGGATATTTTTGAATTATATTTGTTACAACAAAATAGACAGTAGTCTGCTTTGATGTAGTTCCTTTTCTCATTCAGACTTCTCTTGTATGTGGCAGTTACTGAAGGAAAACAAAAAAGTTTAATAAGAATGCGAAGCAATCTATGACAGTAATTCATGACACAATGTATCACTACATGATACAGACTTAAACTGTTATGATTGTGCATATTTATATATGGGATCAGCATGAACTGGACACAGTTTTTGTAGTGGTCTCACATCTAATTCATATACTGTGCTTTGATCATTAGATTCTGAATCACCAACATAATCATCATCACTACATTTCCATTCATATCATCTTCACCATCAACGAGCTCCTCCTCATCATCATCGTTACCCAAATCAGCTGCGGCAACTTCAACTGAAAAATTAAAACAAACTATAATGAACACGTAACTAGTTTAAGATTCAGATGAAATAACGTACAGTTTTTGTGGTACAAAACCAAACTAGAGATTGTTTTTGTGAACATAAACATGTCTCCCCTTCTCCCTTACTAGGCATTTAATTTTTTGCATTTAATTGACCTTTAATTGACCTGGAGATTAAGGTCAAAGTTGCCTTACAGCAGTGCATTGCACATCGACTTTAGGTAATACAAGCTTAAGTATACTGCAAATTTCGTCAATATATCTATCTTGATAAACCCTTAAATGTAATGGCAAGTATTACACAAAATGGATAAGAAACTAGGAGAGTTTAGGTACAAAATTGATGTGTTCCATCCTGTAAAGCTAGTATTTACACTGTGTACTACAATATTAGTTAGCATTCCACTCATAGAAAACAATGATTTGTGTGTAAACTTTTCCTAATTCGGCAATTTGTATTTCCCCCAACTCCGGAAAAACACTGCATTAGCAGGTATTTTTAGCTCTGGATTAATTGATTAACTTTGTCAAATGAATAATTAAGTGGACTGAATGAAAATATTATTATACAAGAGGCGCAGAGGGCCTGTATCACTCACCTGGATATCTAAGCAATCATGGCAAAATATTCTCAAACTGAGATCAAAGGGAATATGCCAGATCCCAAGGCCAATCCTTGTAGCATATCTGTATTTGATTTGTTATGCCCAGCAATTTTATGTATGGTTATGGGGTGGGGATCTCAACTGTTTCCAAGCTGTGACTCAGAAACTATTGTACCACAGGGTGGTAAAAACATGGGAATGGGTTAAATTGTTATATTGCTTGTCACTACTTGAATTATAGATTCAATGCGGATACCCATGTAGCAGTAAATCATGGGAAACAGAATATCCCAGCTGTTGTAAGCTTGAATCGTTTTAAGTTTCAGATAGTTGCCAAGGCATGTTACTTGTTACTTCATTTTCTAGTGTTCGGACAACAGGATAAGTCTGTGTTGTCCTTCTATTAAAGTTGAAAGTTTGCACTCAGGTGTTTTATCTGAGAATGTTTTGTTACAATTTGTGGCTATTTTGTCATGTAAACATAAAAACTTAATCATGGATTATTTAAAAAATATTTAGGTTTAAATTGATCAGTTATTTATTTCATATCAATTGATAAGTTTCCTTTAAGTACTGTGATATAAATTTCATGAAATAACTACTCAATGGCACCTGTATGTCAACATAAATTGTTTGTAGTGTTTACATGACAACATTGATGTTTATTATAGAAAATATGATGAAATTTTAGTCAAACAGATTGGATCATGATGAGATGTTGAATTACTTAGCACCATGTTTAAATACATGTCCCAACTGTCAGACAACGAGTGCCAGTTCCTTGTTTATTCTTTGTTCCATTTTTTGGTTTTGTTTATATATTTATAAATATACACATGTACTTCATGAATTAATGTGTATACATGTACATGTGTGTTCGGAGCACTTAGCAGAATCCAAACAGATAAATTATAAATGCATATAATGTAAACAAACTTTTTTCAATTCTGTCTTTCACATATTGTGTGACCGACAAACATTAATGGGCAATTTCTCCTTTTGCTGCAACGTTTTCTACCCTATATGTGTTTCAATTCACATACACATATATACCATTTTTATACGACCGTCAAATTTGACGGTAGTATTATGGTATGGCGTTGTCCGTCTGGCGTAAACTTTGTTTGTCCGGCAATCTCCCACTTTTTTCGACCGACTTCTTTGAAACTTGGTATACATGATAATCATGATATGAAGTTGTCTCCCTTAAAAGAATTTTGGTTCGACAATTTTTCCAGAACTTATTGCCCTTTGTTCATTTCAGTATTTGAATTTTGTCCGGAAATCTCCTACATTTTTCAATGGATCTTTTTGAAACTTGGTATAAATGATAATCATGATATGAAGTTGTGTCTCCCGTAAAGGAATTTTGATTCGACAATTTTTCCAAAGGTAATTGCCCTTTGTTCATTTCAGTATTTGAATTTTGTCCGGAAATCTCCTACATTTTTCAATGGATCTTTTTGAAACGTGGTATACATGATAATCATGATATGAAGTTGTGTCTCCCTTAAAAGAATTTTGATTCAACGATTTTGCAAAATTTATTGCCTTTTGTTCATTTCGGTTTTTTATTTTTTGTCTTAAGATTTTTTTTATAGCATATCGGCTAAACACTCTTAGAATGATGCATATCTTATTTCAATGTAAGAAAGTATATAACACTATATGGCATTCGACGGGCGTATTTTGTTCCGCCCCGTGGTACTCTTTCTTTTATTTGTCGTCTGCAGATTCTTTCAAAATTGTTAAATTGGAACTCTAAAATGTTTGATGTGGTAATGGGTTGACTAGAATACAAGGAATGTTATAATATCAGTTAGTAGATGAATGCATTATTTTTTTCAGGATGATGAGTGGCCATGGGTCAAGTTAAAACAAAAAATCAAGTGATTCAAGAAGATGTTGCAGGTCTTCTACGTCCCCCAGAATTAACCCGTTGTGGCTCCAGATTTTTATATGTATTTGAAGGTACGGCAGACTATCTGCCTCAATATTACAGATCTGCACATATTTTTTATGTTTTAAGCACAAATTAAAGATCTTTTGAATATTTTAAAAATTGCAGTAAAATATATTTAAATAGCTTTGTTATTAATCGCAAATCAATCGCCATGTAGTTTCCGGGAATTAACATAATCAAAAGGAGCTTCCTAATAAGCTAACACGGCTTGCAACCAGTTTGAAAACTGATGAAATGTCGACTGATAAATTTGCTGCTGATCCCAATTATAGTTAAGTTTATTCATGACGGTTTCATTGATTTGTATTTCAGATTGTTGAAGGAAACACATGGAGCCCTGGAGCAAGCACAGATCTTTGTGGAGCGAGCAAGCACAATTGGGATTAATACCAAAAGATTGCCTTAATGTGTCGCCTGCGAAGCATTACAGCACTAAGGGATCACTTCTTCATTGTCTGTCCGTCCGTCACGCTTTCACTCAAATGGCTCCCAACAGGCGACACACATATTTCTTTGAACACTCTTCTTTATTGCATTTATTTTACATGGCAGCACTAAGGTATCACTTCTCTGTCGCCCGTCCATACATACTGATCATGATTTAAAAGCAAGTTAAAAGCTACTGAGCACTCTCAGTCACTCACAAAGTTACAAATATTTAGTATTACAATGCTAAAATACTTGTAACTTGGTGGGGAGTCGTTATGAAATGACATGAACGTTACCACTTGACATGGTTGAATGGACGTTATTTAATGTATGTGTCAAAATGTCAATGGTAACGTCCATAACGATTCAGATACAAAAGATTTGTAAATGCATAATGGAAAATAAAAGTCACATTGACATATCAAAAAAATGTTTTCTATTTTCAGTTACGTTCGTAACATGTCAATATTATTTTTTTTGTATATATATTGCTTTTAACAAAGGAAGTTATTCTCCAATTTGTTCATCTGTTTAGGAATTTAAGAATCAATGGCAATTTGGGGTGATTCTGTTTTGTTTACCGATATGTTTCATCATTTTTAGTGGTGTCAAGGTAACATCCATAACGGCTCGGTCGCCACAGAAAAAAATCAAAATTTGTGCTTAAATTTGTAATAACCATCTTTTAATGTCCAAATTAGCAAAATTAAATAATTGAAAAAGATTTAACAAAAAAAATGGATTTAAAAAATTGGTATGAGTGTCCATGAATGTTGCAGTTTACCTCGGAAGGACCCTGCAGTGTAGATTGAAGGCGTGTAGATCAGGTAAAGGTAAATATCACCAAAGGTCAAATCGTGCCAGGTGCTTGGGTCAGAAGTTCATTTCTCTGTCATTGCATAAGGATCGGGCAAAGTTTTTGTCTCTGTGTGGTAAAATAACTTTGTTGAATATCTCTGGCTTCAGCTGACGAGAGTAGATGTATTTTACAGGTAACAAAAGGTCCCTCTAGTCCCTAAAAGGTCCCTCTAAGTCCCGCTTGGTCCCTAAAAGGTATATAAGGTTATAAAAGGTCCCTAAAAGATCCCGGTCTCTGTATATATGATCTCCAATGTATAGGTCCCGTTTTTTAAGGGTATATATATACATGAAGTGAGAAGAATTTTCGACGCTTTCAATGGCACAAGCTCAGATAGATCAGATCAAGAAAGAGGACATCAACGTAACAGACATTTCATCCAACAGAGTCATCTGTCGAGTCAGTCTTACGCAGGAAGTCATCATCAGAAAACTTAAAGGTGAGCTTAGGATTTGTTTGATTGATGAAGGA